GCACGTGCGCTCACCAGAGAGACAGAGAGAGACAGAGAGACAGAAAGCAAGAAATCACCCCCCAGGGGGGATGGCCATGCCGCAATCCCTTCTCCTCCATTTTCCTCTCGGGATCTTGGGCACGCACGCACACGTGCCCGGCGTGAGTTTAAGGCACCCGGTCCGGGACTCGAACCGTAGTCGACTACATGGGAGTCCAGTGACATAGCCATTATGCTAACTGCTGGTTTCTGTTAGCATTTTTTTTTTTTATTTGCCAGAGGACACAAGCACTGGTCGTAGAGAAACAGAGGGAGAGGGAGAGAGCAGCTCCCAGCAAGCTGTGCGACCCATTCCCCATCTCTCTGTCTTGTCTGCAGTTTGGGCCACACACAAGCACACACACCAGGTGTCTTTTTTTTTTAATAATTTTTTTAAAGATTTATTTTATTTTATTTATTTATTCATTTATTTTTTAATTTGACCAGAGAAAGAGAGAGAGAGAGAGAGGGAAAGTGAGAAAGCAAGCGACCAGGTCCAGGACTTGAACCGTGGTCAGCTACGTGGGAGTGTCCAGCACCTTAACCATCACGCCACCTGCTGGTCCCCGCACACCGGGTGTCTTTCTAAAGTTGCCAGTGTCAGGATTTGAACCTGATGTTCAACCATGTGGGATCCAGTGCCCTTAAACACTAGACCATGGAGCTGACCTCCTAATTAGCATTTTTTTAAGTTTTATTCTTTTATTCATGAGAGACAGCACATGCCTATGCCCAGCCCCAGAATCTCGTCACGCCACATCCCTGACCCCCGCCCTGCAGCTCCTCAGGCTCAGGCATGCACACACACCAGCATGTGTCCGGGAGCTGAGCCAGGGCTCCAAACCCGCCCTGGGCCACGTGACCTCCAGCACTGCCGCTCGGCTCGCCACTGAGGGCACCTCCAGGCGGGGCCTATTCGGCAGCATCGACGATACATTTGACCTCACCCATTCTCAGGCCCTGTGGGCCGAAGGTGTGGACCATGCGCGTGGGCTGCAGGCACAGGTGTCATCTCTGAAGTGGGACTAAGTGAGGGCGGCCGAGGTCACCTGCAGAGGCAGTTTGTAAATGAGGGGAGGGAGGCCCCGGGTTCCCCCGTGGACTGCGGGGACCCAGCCGGAGCACAGGAGTCCAGCTCTGTCTCACTCGGGCAGCGTCTGGGGAGGGGTCTTCCAACGTGTCACTCGGACTCGCAGCGAGGTGCGTCGTCAGCATACCCTCCTTCAGCAGCCTGAAACTGAGTGGAGGAGAGAAAGAAGGGAAAGACGGGCTTCAGGGATGGCTCGCAGGGCTCCAGCTTCAGGACAAGTGGGGCCTTCAAGCCAGAGAGAGGGCCACAGTCAGCCTACAGGCAGCGTGTGTGTGGGCAGCCTACAGAGCACGTGCACTCGCAGAGAGAGAGAGAGAAAGTGAGAAATCACCGCCCAGGGGACCAGCAGTTAGCATAATGGCTATGTCGCTGGACTCCCACGTAGTCGACCGCGGTTCGCGTCCCGGACCCGGTGGCTTAAAACTCACGCCGGGCGCGTGTGCGTGCGTGCCCAAGATCCCGAGAGGAGAATGGAGGAGAAGGGATTGCGGCGTGGCCATCCCCTCTGGGGGGTGATTTCTCACTTTCTGTCTCTCTGTCTCTCTCTGTCTGTCTGACAAGCGCACGCACCCTATAGCAAAAAAAACTCTCAAAAAAAAAAAAAAAAGAAGAAGAAGTCACCGCCCAGGAGGGAAGGCCATGCCACAATCCTCCTCCTGCATCCTCCTTGTGGGATTTCGGACACACATGTCCAGAGCCTTTCCAGTCACCGGGTCCAGCATCAGACTGCGAAGTCAGCCATGTGGGAGCCAGCTGCCTTAGCCATCACGCCCCCTGACCCCGGCCTTCCATCTTTAAAGACTCTCCCAAAGTGAAATAAGCAAGAACAGAGACTCTGGGCACAGGCAGCCCGTAGGCATAGCACAGCAACGAAGGGCACCTTCCGTGCAAACTAGGAGAGGGGGCTCCTTCCTCTGGGCAGCAGTGTGAGGCCAAGCGGGCTGAGCACAGGCCGGAACTCAGCCAGCCCCCTCACTGCCTGTGCTGGAGTTCACGGCAGGGCCGACGCCCACTTTCACGGCAGGCACGAGCCCGACTCCCCTGCCACAAGGCTCATGTGTTGGGATGCAGTCCACACACCGAAGAATGTCCAGTTAGGGACAACAGCGACGTTGGAAAAGTGGAGGAAGGGGACCTCCAGGTGGCGTGGTGGTGAAGGCCTTGGAATCCCCACATGCCGACTGCGGTTCAACTCCCAGACTTGGTGGCTTTCTTTCTCACTCTTCCCCTCTGTCTCTCTCTGACAAAATTCTTGTGAAAATAATAAAGAAAGAAAGAAAAGAAAGGAAGAGTGGAGGGAGCAGCATGGGGAGTCTTGCTCTCTGTGACATGTGAACACAGGCCCATCCATCACACTACATGTATGTGAACACGCGTGCGCACACACAGTCGGGAGCGTGTTACAGGATGACTGTTACTGAAGAGGAGGACAGTCGGCAGGTTCAGGGGACGCCGATACACGCAGGTCATGGGACTGTACGCAATTATAATTCGGAAGCCCCACAGATAAACAGTAATTCTGCAATTAGGGATCAGAGTCTAATGAATGGGGGGAAGCTGATGTCACACACAAACGCAAACAGGAGACACCGTCAAGCCATGGCGAGAGCGTCATGTGGACGGTGGTGCTGCGAGCCCTCAGAGGGCGACTGTGGCCACCCAGGGAGATCCAGTCCAGTCGCTGTTCTCCCACTGTCCTCCTAACATTCTAACAGAAGCCCAAGTTTATTCTATTTTTAAAAATATGCTATAGGGTACGTGCATTCTCCAGAGAGAGAGAGAAAGTGAGAAAGCACCTCCCGGGGGGATGGCCAGGCCGCATTCCTTTCCCCTCCGTTCTCCTCTCAGGATTGTGGGCACATGAGCACACATACCCAGCACATTCCTCAAACTTCCAGGTCTGGGACTCGAACCACACAGTTGGCCATGGCAGCGTCTAGAGCCCAGACACCTCAACCACCGTGCCCCCAGTAGGCGCTCCCCAATTTTTGCTGTGTTTCTGTTGTTGTTTCATTTCCCTCA